CCTTTGGTGAGACAAGTCCTCTGTGAGACATATACCTTTGGTGAGACAAGTCCTCTGTAAGATATCTACCTTTGGTGAGACTGATTATCTCAGATATATCTTCCTTTGGTGAGACAAGTCCTCTGTGAGACATATACCTTTGTTGAGACAAGTCCACTGTGAGATATCTACTTTTGTTGAGACAAGTCCTCTGTGAGACATATACTTTTGGTGAGACAAGTCCGCTGTGAGATATCTACCTTTGGTGAGACAAGTCATCTGTGAGACATATACCTTTGGTGAGATAAGTCCACTGTGCGATATCTACTTTTGGTGAGACAAGTCCTCTCAGAGATTCTTACCTTTGGTGAGACAGGTCCACTAAGTGGTAAGTCTAGTTTCCATTCATCCTTCACTCCCAGACTTTTGAGGCCTTTTCTGAATAACGTTCTCATGCCTTCATAGTTGGGGCATTCTTCATATTGCAATTTCTTCACCATTTCAAAGTATTTTTGTACTTCATCTATATAATTCAAAAAGAAACGAGACCAAAAGGTTGTAACTTGGTAATACTGCAATGCAACATAACACTTGTACATTTTAATGAACTGAATCTGCAAATACTTATAAAAGATACTAATGCTTGATATGGGATCATGTAGGGATGTTTACTATTAAATTTCAGTAATAACTTTGATACTTAATACATTTCCAAAATACCTGTTATTCGGAATGCTTGACTAGCACAAAAAATAACACTTGGTAAGTTAGTCAGGACCAACATACTCATCCTTCTCAAAGTTTCAGTGAAATCTTTCTTATTATACTGGAGTTTACGTTTAGTGTAAGTTTACAATTAAATCCAAGATGAGCATTGTACATTTGTATGTTTATATAGCAATTCTTATCAACATGTGAATAAGAATGTATGTTGAGGATTAAATACTGAGAATTTCTTCAACTTTTGTCCTGTATGATTGAGTTTGAGTTAAACATTGGAAATCAAAATGACATTTTGCTTTCGGATTTACCCAAAAAGTAACACTACACTATCAGGACTATAAGTTGATCATTCTTGCCGAGTTTTACCACTTTGCCCTGTATGTTAAATTTTGAAGAGGTATTATCTGACAATGGTTTTAAAGGCCCCTCATGGGAGCCACAATGGATTTCTGATCAACATAAATAGTACTGTAACAACCACTTCTATTTCTAATCACCAGTCAATAGACCCTACCTAAGTATCACCAAAATCAGAACCGTAGTCTATAAGATCAAATTGTGTTTTTCAAATGGTGACTCTGAAAGCGATCGTTGATTACACAACAAAATTAACACACGGCTAGTACTACATAAGGAACTTCCCTACATTTTAAACTTACGCAAAAGGGGGAATGCACTGAATGTCTGTAGACTGTTTTGTCAGAGTAGATGCTGACCTCTATATTCTATCTATAGGTTTAACAATGAATACAATGCTGACCTCTATATTCTATCTATAGGTTTAACAATGAATACAATGCTGACCTCCATATGCTATCTATAGGTTTAACAATGAATACAAACTATCATTTTGATGCATTACATTCATTTTGTATATCTGACCAGTAAAAATATCTGTCTATATAAAAGCCTACACGAAATCTGTGGGCATGTTTGTATGTTGTACATTTAGTTTGGCCTTGTACTTACCAAGTACGCCACCATCAGTGTGGCCTTGTACTTACCAGGTATGTCACCATCAGTTTGGCCTTGTACTTACCAAGTACGCCACCATCAGTGTGGCCTTGTACTTACCAGGTACGCCACCATCAGTGTGGCCTTGTACTTACCAGGTACGCCACCATCAGTTTGGCCTTGTACTTACCAGGTACGCCACCATCAGTTTGGCCTTGTACTTACCAGGTACACCACCATCAGTTTGGCCTTGTACTTACCAGGTATGCCACCATCAGTTTGGCCTTGTACTTACCAGGTACACCACCATCAGTTTGGCCTTGTACTTACTAGGTACGTCACCATCAGTGTGGCCTTGTACTTACCAGGTACGCCACCATCAGTGTGGCCTTGTACTTACCAGGTACGCCACCATCAGTTTGGCCTTGTACTTACCAGGTACGTCACCATCAGTTTGGCCTTGTACTTACCAGGTACGCCACCATCAGGGAAGCATGCCTTCATCAAACTGGCAATGTTTTTGGTGTATCTGTATGAACAAGACAGAAGAAATATTTGAAGAAGATTTGAAAGTGTTGACAAACAACAATTTACTATTAACAGTTAGGTAAATAGATGACTCTACTACTACGGCCGGACTCTAGTATTCCTTGTGGAATTCGCCTGCTGGGCATCACAGAACTCTACTGAACTCTTTGCACGGACGTTGGATCTCTCACTTCCCGTAATTTACTATTATATAAACTACAGAACACTATAATCAGCTTTTTGATGTTCGTGCCAATACATAAGAAGAATATTTTTGTAGCATTTTTAAGACCTTAGACCTTGAACTCAAATTCAAAACTTCCTATGCATTATTCCAACATGTAACAACTGTCTACTTACTTGAACTTCTCCCCAGCTACATAGTCTTTGTTAGCTAGATTGTTTTCCCAAGGAAGACGGCTACACAGCCATTGTAGTAAACAGAAACCCAATATCTCCATGTCACCTCGACGTGATGGTGCTGTAGGAAAAAAAAATGTTATGGAAATTAACTGGATTTTGAAGGTTCTCTGGTACTTGACTGAAATTTCATTATAATATTGAATAATCTATGGAACAAATGCAGGATTCTGAATGGTTGAATATAACATCAAAGTTTTAATAATTTGACCTGTGTCACATTGAAAGTGGATCAAGGCTATTTCTTTGAATAAATCTGATAGCTATTCATCACAGCATGCTTCAAGACAAATATCAGGAGTAGGCTTCATCGTCTGTAGAATTTAATGAAAGTATAAATCTGACATGGGTTTGTGTCTGGAATTAATACTTTTGTTACATCATTTGGGCCTCCCTCTAAAAAGTATCTTCCACATTTTATTTTTTTAATATCAACGAAGAAATTTTATCTATATAACTTTTTTTCAACATGATGTTTAGACAGATCAACCTCAACTCAACTGGCATTACAGACAAGTGAAGTCAGGATGTTTTGGCCATGTTCTTAAGTTTTTGGAGTACAAAATTTCGCAGAGTTTGATCAATTCCCAAAATTTGTAAAATTTAAACCCTCATCAATATAAGCAACTATACAGTACTACCAGGTGAGTACTAGAGTACTGTGTGGTACGTACCTACTTCCAGGTGAGCGTCTGTATGTAAGAACTGTCTGGTACCTATCTACTCCCAGGTGAGCGTCGGTACTAGAGAACTGTGTGGTACTTACCTACTACCAGGTGAGCGTCGGTACTAGAGAACTGTGTGGTACCTATCTACTCCCAGGTGAGCGTCAGTACTAGAGAACTGTGTGGTACCTATCTACTCCCAGGTGAGCGTCGGTACTAGAGAACTGTGTGGTACTTACCTACTACCAGGTGAGCATCGGTACTAGAGAAATGTGTGGTACCTATCTACTCCCAGGTGAGTGTCAATACTAGAGAACTGTGTGGTACCTATCTACTCCCAGGTGAGCATCAGTACTAGAGAACTGTGTGGTACATACCTACTCCCAGGTGAGTGTCAGTACTAGAGAACTTTGTGGTACCTACCTACTCCCAGGTGAGCGTCAGTACTAGAGAACTGTGTGGTACCTACTTACTACCAGGTGAGCGTCAGTACTAGAGAACTGTGTGGTACGTACCTACTCCCAGGTGAGTGTCAGTACTAGAGAACTTTGTGGTACCTATCTACTCCCAGGTGAGCATCAGTACTAGAGAACTGTGTGGTACCTACTTACTCCCAGGTGAGCATCAGTACTAGAGAACTGTGTGGTACATACCTACTCCCAGGTGAGTGTCAGTACTATAGAACTTTGTGGTACCTACCTACTCCCAGGTTAGCGTCAGTACTAGAGAACTGTGTGGTACCTACCTACTCCCAGGTGAGTGTCAGTACTAGAGAACTGTGTGGTACCTACCTACTCCCAGGTGATTGTCAGTACTAGAGAACTTTGTGGTACCTATCTACTCCCAGGTGAGCATCAGTACTAGAGAACTGTGTGGTATCCTCCTCCTCCCAGGTGAGCGTCTGTACTAGAGTACTTTGAGGTACCTACTTACTCCCAGGTGAGCATCAGTACTAGAAAACTGTGTGGTACCTACCTACTCCCAGGTGAGCGTCTGTACTAGAGTACTTTGTGGTACCTACCTACTCCCAGGTGAGCATCAGTACTAGAGAACTGTGTGGTACCTTCCTACTCCCAGGTGAGCATCAGTACTAGAGAACTTTGTGGTATGTACCTACTCCCAGGTGAGTGTCAGTACTAGATAACTTTGTGGTACCTACCTACTCCCAGTTGAGCATCAGTACTAGAGAACTTTGTGGTACCTTCCTACTCCCAGGTGAGTGTCAGTACTAGAGAACTTTGTGGTACCTATCTACTCCCAGGTGAGCATCAGTACTAGAGAACTTTGTGGTATGTACCTACTCCCAGGGGAGTGTCAGTACTAGATAACTTTGTGGTACCTACCTACTCCCAGGTGAGCATCAGTACTAGAGAACTTTGTGGTATGTACCTACTCCCAGGTGAGTGTCAGTACTAGATAACTTTGTGGTACCTACCTACTCCCAGGTGAGCATCAGTACTAGAGAACTTTGTGGTACCTTCCTACTCCGAGGTGAGTGTCAGTACTAGAGAACTTTGTGGTACCTTCCTACTCCGAGGTGAGCATCAGTACTAGAGAACTGTGTGGTACCTATCTACTCCCAGGTGAGTGTCTGTACTAGAGAACTGTGTGGTACGTACCTACTCCCAGGTGAGCATCGGTACTAGAGAACTTTGTGGTACCTACCTACTCCCAGGTGAGCATCAGTACTAGAGAACTGTGTGGTACCTACCTACTCCCAGGTGAGCATCGGTACTGGTAAACTCTATGGTTCCATCGTGAGCCTTCCTTTTATCCTCTTTATATGCCTTGTGTACTCCATCTATCTGGTATTTCACAGCAAGTCCATAGTCCACAAGGTACACCTACAAGGTGCATAAGGAGTCACCTTATATTCAGTTTCTGACAAAATGGGTATCAATCCAACATATTCAATGTTTAAACCAACAAAAAATTGAGAATAACCATCTCTGTCTCCTGTCATATACAAGTATACGATTCAATGTATTAATACAAACTGTTCTGATGAAGTTAATTACTTCAGACATATAATGCAAACCAAAGCTGGCTGAATATGAAACACCAAGCAAAGAGACATGTATCAGGATAAAATATTCTTACATGTAATAAAAGTAATATTGAAAATAAGTCAGCAGTGGCAGGTCTATACCTCAGAGGCTAATTGTGGTAGCACGGTACTGTTTGTCTCTTCATGCAGAGCAAGCAAAGACGAAGTCCTCAGGGGTTATCGGTATGAGTTTATTCATCTCTTCATGCAGAGCAAGCAAAGACGAAGTCCTCAGGGGTTATCATTATGAGTTCATCTCTTCATGCTGAGTAATTGCATGTCTAGTTGTAGGGTGGGATATCTCAGGTGTTTCATGTTGAGACACAATGACTAAATCTAGGAAGGAGCAAAACCCACATGCTTATTTCAATCTAAAGCATGATTAGGCCCAACGCTGTGCACCCAGCAATTGTATATTGTCATAGGGTGGCATAATCCTAAGCTCAGATGTTATGATTCACCTGGAGACTATTCACTTTTTTCTTAATCCCCTATTAACAAAAATAACAGATAGAAGCATTCCTCACTCACTCAAAATGGTGAAAAAAAAGAAAAGTGTTCTAAGCACTCTTGTGTTGTATCTCCAATCAAGAAATTGAACAGTTTCATTCTGTTTGGCCTTTTTTTATTTGGGAGTTCCTTGACCATTTACCATAGCAGTGAGATATATATACGAAAGAAATATATTAATTATCATACACTTTATTTCTTTTTTTCTTTTTTTGGTCAGGATTTTTGTTATATTAATACTTATCTTCATCATTTCTGAAGATGATATTAATAATGTCCTCGATTACTTTAAAGTCCCACAATTAATCTATAACTGTCTTTGTATGAATATAGAAGAAATAACACAAATTTTACAGGAAAATAACTTTGAAGGCCTGTATACAGTAGAATAAAGTGGGACATTCTACCTTAATGTTTAAGGTTAACATGGAGAATAACGTGGGACATTCTAACTTAAACCTGTCTAAGGTTAACAAGGAAGCAATCCATTTAAGTCTTAACATAAAGAAGAATTCCCAAACTGTCTCAGAAAATATAGAAACCATCCTCTAAGAATGTTGAAGGTAAATAAAGAAGCACTCTTCTGAAGACTGTCCAAAGAAAACTGGCAAAACCCCCACTTAACTTAAAGTAAGTAAAATATTAAAGCACTCCTGACCCACATTGATTGTCTATAAGGAGTAGTCATTATCTAGAACAGGTCTTTTGCAGCGGAGCACAGTAAGCTCAAAAAGAAGGGGCTGTGCCCCAGGTTCTATTCAAGTTGTTTTTGTAAACTAAATGAAGACAAGCTAAACAATACCTTCACCCTGCTTGTGACTTACCTCATCAGGTTGTTGCTTGCCGCCTCTGAAGCCCAGTAAAATGTTGGAAGCCTTTATGTCGGCATGAACATAACTATTGTGGTGTATGTATTCCAAGGCATCTATCTGTTAAACACACATCAATGTTCAAACTTGTTGTTATTGGAAATGAAAACGGGAAGCATGGTTTACTACTGGTAAGTTGCTTTCTTTATATAAATCAAAAGAGTGAGAATTATTATGTCTCAAAACACAGAACCAAACACCTGCTGTCTATTCCTCATCCTGTGGACTTGTATTTTGGTAATTACCTAATAAACATTTCATTGAAGGAGAATTTAGCCAACAAAACAAGTGGGATAGATTAGCATAAGCTAAAGCTGTGTAGAACATGAGTCCCCGGGGGATCCTGGTGTCCACCATTGTAAGACCTTCATTGGTTCTAGATAGTTTGATTTTTTCTCTTATCCTAACAACAAGAACTGTTAAGGGATGGACAACTGACCAAAGATGAAAGGCAATTTCAACAGCTCACCATCTAATGATGTTTAATGAGTTTAAAACATGAGGACAATATATAACATGGGCCTAAATAAGCACAAAACTACAGTCTTGTACTTGTGAACAAGCAAGAGGCCCAGAGGGCCTGTATCGCTCACCTGGGTATCTAAGCTATCAACGCACAATTTTCTCCGAATGAGATCCAAGGGAATATGCCAGAACCAAAGGCCAATCCTTGAAGCATATCTGTATTAGATTTTTCATGCCCAACAATTTTTTTTTATGGTTATGGGTTAGGGATCTCATCTGTTTCCAAGCTGTGACTCAGAAACTAGGTCCCTAGGGTTGTAGCCAGACCCCAGGATAAATTCTAATATCATGACTGCATTCGTCTCTTTTTGCCCAGCATTTGTATTTATAGTTTTGGGATGGGGATCTCAACTGTTTCAAAGTTATGACCCAGGGGTTAAGTCTGCAAGGGTGGGGCAGACCCTGAGGTCAATTCTAATATCATGACTGCATTCGTCTCTTTATGCCCAACAATTGTATACATGTATATAGTTTTGGGGTGAGGATCTTAACCATTTCGAAGTTATGACCCAGGGGTTAAGTCTCCAAGGGTGGGGCAGACCCCAAGGCCATCCTGGAAGCAGTAGTTTCATCTTCAATAGCTTAAAAGTTACAGAACAGACTATATGTTACTGAAAATTATGGGCTTACTTTGACCTTGAGGTCAAAGCCACGGTGACCTATTGACAGTTCACTGCACACCGCCTGTGGGTGATGCTATACCACAAGTTTCATCAAGATATCTTTAACAGCCTAAAAGTTATGGCCTGGACAATTAATATTAAGAAGAACAAAAAGAACCAGTACATGAACTAAAACAATATGTTTCCCTTCATTCGAAGGGGAGACATAATTATTGCACAAGTACATCACTCATGTCAGTTTATCTTGACCTTTTTGCTGCTACTTACCATTCTCAGTGCCAGGCAGTATACTGTATGTGTATCAAAGTGTTTCCCTGATCCTTCAAATAGTTTTTGTAAATCTGAACCAAACCTCTCCATGACCATGAATCTGAACTGTACGTTGTCACGCATGTAGGAACCAGTCCCAATAAACTTTGGCGATCCAAGATATTTTTGCTTCTTCTGTGTTTTCCATGCTTCAACTTTAAATCAACAAGGACAAGGAAAAACTTTAAGCAGCCTCCTCACAACAACAACAACAACAAATTATTGATCCAACAGAATCACACTTAAAACAAAGGAGCTGGTAATTATCTACGAACATGTTTTTCTCCTGAAAACCACAAGACTCGGTGTCATCTAAGTAAGGGCATTTTGTATATCACTTTCACATTCTAAATTTTAAACTGTACATAAACATGTGCATCTGAGCAGATATTTGTTCATGATTTACTTGTTACCAATAATGGCAGTTCCATCACAGAAAAGACATCATCTTTTGTCTGTACCTTCAATGTTTCCATTGAATTCAACTTGTTAGTTTGTAATCAACATGAGCAAATCTTTGAACAAGTCTTAAATAAATCAAAGCACATCTTACTCATGTCTGCTTTGGCTACTCTTTGATAATAATGAAGTTCACAAAACAATGGTCCATTGGAATGTGGTTCCTGAAATTAAGTAAAAAACAAAAATCATTTTGGTAAGTGTTACCATGTACAGCTAACCAGGGTTAACGTTACAGCTATACAATGTACAATTATACAGGTATTCAAAGTTTAAATGAATAAAGGAAGTATCTCAAATATTCCATACAGACATTAGTAGATTTTTTTATGCCAATGATTTAAACCTTTTTAACAAAATGAAACATGAAAATGAGAGCATGTCTCAGCTCTCATCTGCCTTAGTGCTAGGCAGTATAGCTGTCAATCTTACACTCGGCTCATATCTGCTTTAGTGTTAGGCAGTATAGCTGTCAATCTTACACTCGGCTCTCATCTGCCTTAGTGCTAGGCAGTATAGCTGTCAATCTTACACTCGGCTCTCATCTGCCTTAGTGCTAGGCAGTATAGCTGTCAATCTTACACTCGGCTCTCATCTGCCTTAGTGCTAGGCAGTATAGCTGTCAATCTTACACTCGGCTCTCATCTGCCTTAGTGCTAGGCAGTATAGCTGTCAATCTTACACTCGGCTCTCATCTGCCTTAGTGCTAGGCAGTATAGCTGTCAATCTTACACTCGGCTCTCATCTGCCTTAGTGCTATGCAGTATAGCTGTCAATCTTACACTTGGCTCACATCTGCCTTAGTGCTAGGCAGTATAGCTGTCAATCTTACACTCAGCTCACATCTGCCTTAGTGCTAGGCAGTATAGCTGTCAATCTTACACTCGGCTCACATCCCATTACAACATATACGACTCTAAATAAAAAATCTTGTATCTTGTATCTGCCTAAGTGTTAGGCAGTATAGGTGTCAATCTTACAAAACTTACAATTTTCACAACATACGGAGCATTTGATTCAACAGCACATCCATTTTCATTTGCTGGAAAAAGAAAGAAAAGATGCGAAGAGTGAAATATATATTAAATAAACATAAATGTTTTAGATTGTTATACAGATCTACAATCATATTAATATACATACTGAGCAGTGATACTTTAGCTTTTGTTTTTTTTAAATTAAGCATGAAAATGTTAATTTATTTTTATCAATTATTTCCTTCATCTTTCAGCAATCTACAAGTGGAGTACACTCTATAGTAGGCTTGTCACAAATCAGAAACATTTGCTTTTTAAAAAATAAACCAGAACACATACAGGTCAGCAAGGGCCCTGCCATGCGCCTGACTGACCTCCTTCCTCTCGGTCTATTTTTAATAACAGTAACCTTGATTTTTACCTTAAAAACAAACTTGTTTAAACCCCTATTATACATCTACATATCACAGTCTATCACCGTGTCAAAAGATCAGTCTTGGATTCTCGGAGATAAGAAATGTAACCACCTCCCCCACATTCTTTTTTTTTAGAAACATTGACCTTGACCTTTGATACTTTAAAACCCTTCTTGTACATCTACATATCACAGCTTATCCCCCAACTGTCTATTTTTAGTAACAGTAACCTTACAAAATGTTTAAACCCCTATTGCACATCTACATTTCACAGTGTATCACCTTATCAAATTTCAAAAAGACTAGAACACTGACAAGTCAGTAAGGGCCCCGTCTCGTGGCAATATATCCCCCATAATCATCAAGAAGCAATCTGCCCATACAGCTGAGCTTGACGTTTGACATTTGGACTTCAAAAAGAATCGCAAGGAAGCAAAATACACATTTTACATGTACTATGATGTGAGTCTTGTTTCCTTCCACCTCCATATTGGCTGGGCTAACAGAAATGTAAATACCGGTGCAATACTCATTTGTTAGCTTTGATTTGTTTTATTTCACCTTATATACCTCCTCCATCAAGAGCCAGGGTCAAAGTCAGAGATCCACCTTGGCTCCGATACGGGGCCCTAATTAGTCTTTTGGTTTCTGAAATAATCTTCAGAAACAAAATTGTGGACAGACAGACGGACAGCATGATTACTAGTATTAGTAAAGGGCACACGCATCTCTGAAGCAGGGCCCCAATAAAATATGATATGCCCAAGTACAATCATGCTAAAAACCACATTAAAGTATGAGAAAATATCAGATGGCCAGATCTAGATGAGTTAGTGATATAAAACAAGTTCAATTGTTATATTGCACTTCTTATATTTCATAAATTGCAATTAACAGACATATAAAATAGCAAATAAGAAACAAACACTCCTATTTAAAAGTCCTGATATAAAATTTGATTATTACTACTACTGGGGTATCTAATTAGCACTGTTGCGTATGCTCCTACCCAGATATATGAGACCAAATCCTCCCTGACCAATCTCCTTTCCAAGCTTCCATTCCTTTTTCCGTAGATCTGTTAGAATCGTCCCATGTGCAAAGGAATCTGGCAATTTCTGAGCTTTAGGTCCTCTAGGCTTTTTGGCACCTTAAAGAGAGAATTTCACATTTAAAAAGACAGTAAATTGTTGAAAAAGAATAATCCTGAGAGTCCTCTTTATCAAATAGGACTTTGTTTCCTATATATTATAAGTACTAGTACTGTATAAATACCTTTCTTATGACTAGGAGACACAAAATAAAAGAAGAAATATTACCATTACTAGCACCAGCAGCTGAAGCTTTCCCTCTAGGCATGATTGACAACAAGTTGGCCAAATACTGCAGCTGAAAATTAAAAACAGCTGTAAACAAAACAATGTCTCAATTAATCCTTAACTTCTATTGTCTGGTAAATCTTTGATACCACATGCAGTTGGCCATTTTAATACTATAGTAAAATGTGCATGTGTATGCATTAATCTGGATAGATCATAAATGTGAGACAGTTATAAAGAGAAATATAGGAAGTAATAACATTCACATAAATTCTACAGATTGCTGATGCATAATATACTACACTAACAGAGGCGGATCCAAAGGGGGGGGGGGGCAGCGTATGTGACTAGTGATTCTAGTTGTGTATTACACTGTCCAAGCCACATACCGACGTCCCAACCAATTCCACCAGGTTTAAAGCTGATGTCATGTATCATGTATGCATGGTCGGAGTGTTGTATTCTTTGTTTGTATATACATGTACCTGTACTGTATAATTTGCACTGTATATATATGCACTGTACTGATAAACTGCAAGGTTTAAGGTAATAAAGAATGAATTAATGATACAAGTGTTGACAATATAATTGATATCTTCCAATCATGCATCAATTAAATGGGTCAGTGAACCATGATACAGACTTTTTTACCTGCATGGTCAATGGTCCTTGATAGCCACAGGGCATAGGTGTTACGCTTGCAAGAAGAACTGACATAACATTTTAATGCTTTAAAGTCGGGAATCATTTTGAGAGAAATATGGCAGTAAATAAAGTACCAGGCCTAGTTGATATCACATGCTGTAACCGGAATTGGAAAAGACTTATATATCAGTTTAAGCCGGTTGTCTAATCCTTTTGGAAAAAATAAAATATCTTGAATTGAATGTCAGTAAATAGACGTTAGCACATTAAAACCATGTTTGTTATAAATACCTGGTAAGCATTGGATCCAATGATTGGTAGCGTTTATCCATGCAATTTTATAATTTTAATGCCAAAATTAAATACATATTGCACTTGAGTTTTCTTTATAAATATATATGAACTACTCTACTAAAAGGTGATCAGTATCCTGTGCCCACTGATTTTATCACTTCATGTTGGGACAAGATATTATCTTTTTATGTTAATAAAGTCTATTCCGATAATTTTTTCTTGCATGATAAACTAGCAGATAGCAACAGTAGCATATTTATCAGAAAGCAAACAAGGATAATCTTTTCAAAGAGTTTGAGAATTGAAATAAATAAATTACCAAAATAAAATGTATACATTAATTATTCTTTCAACTCTTGCATTTTACAAGAGAAAAAGCAGAATTCAAGAAAGATTTTGATATAGACCCTTGAAAAAGTAAAGGGCAAAGACCGGTATCTACCTTAGTTTTGTGCAACATGTCATATGATTTAGACCACATTTGTCGCAAAATAAACTGGAAATCTAGAATGGTTATACACCCCCCTGAACAAATTCTGGATCCATCCCCGAATAATAACACCTATATGCAAGAAGAAAGGGGATAAACTTCATATAGAGGGATATCTGTGATGCCAGTCATATCCAGGCTCATTGAGTACATTGTATATTCTGATGGATAATCAACATTGTGGTTGACTTCAGTAAGCTGGAACATTATACCTAGAAACCAACTAAGGGAGTCCTACCTGAAATACTCCAAAATTACTATTCATTCATTCTTTATTAGCCAAAAGCATGTAGACTTTATAGGTACAATTACCAATATGAGAGTATTTGATCAATCCATTCATGGGATATTGAAGACCAGCTACATGTACATGTAGTGTGCATTGACCAAACAAACTACAGTAGCTTTCCCGAGGTAGAACATAAAAAGTGTAACCGAGAAGAAAAATGCACGACCAGACTGGGGTTCAAACCCAGGAACCTTCAAACTCTAAACGGACACTCTAACAATTGGGCTACCTGGTCACCAATGATCGACCCAGTCAAGTTCCGCTACATTTACAACCCAGGTTGGGGCATACCCTTGCCAAGCAGTACACCAAATGCTTTAAACAAGGGTTGCATGGTCACAGGCACCACTGTAACAGGAGAGGAAATATGCACGACCAGACCAGGGGTTCGAACCCAGGACCCTCTGCACTCTAGACGGACGCTCTACCAATTGAGCTACCTGGTCACCAGCAATCATCCCAGCCAGTTCAGTTCTGCTACAATAGTAATAACGCTTGCCCGTGACACCACCAGTTTATTGTTATTTCAATACTCTCAATTTTAACCTGTGCAATAGTCATTAGCATGAACTTTTATCATGTACTGTGTGTAAATGAGTGTAAATATCTTTTATGGTGAAGGGATCCACTATAAATATTGTTTGTTACTCCAATAAACTGGAGGTTCTCCTTATCCAAGGAGGGAAATCATTGACAGGACAGAACTGAACAGTGTACATGTGGTATTATAACGGAAAGCCATTTAATATCCTCTATGTATTTTATAGTAGGAGAGAGCATTTTACTCTCTATGTAACTATATACCAAAGAGAATCTTCTGCTTCGCAGGACAATTAACGGGCGTGTGGTTAAGGCGTCTAATATTTTACTTCCACTAGCTCTCCATCCACTTGGTGACAGGTTCAAGGCCTATGTGGGGCAGTCGATCGCCATGTACTGGCTGTAGGTCGGTGTTTTTTCTCCAGGAACTTGGCTTTCCTCCACCACCAAAACCTGGCATGTCCTTAAATGACCATAGCTGTTAAAAGGACGTAAAACACAAACAAACGAAACCAAACCTTGCAGGACAAGATAAGACAATTCCCTCCGCATTAAAGCCATTTTGGTCTCTGTGGAGTATAACATTTCAACATAGCTAGGGGAAGCAATATTTATGCAAACAGAAAGTAGGAACATATGTGCCAAATTTTGTGTTACATTAATTTCTTTCCGTAGGGTTTGGACCCCAATGACGGTCCGAAATATAGCATTATCCGACAGTCTGGTTACAGATCTTCTTCCAGTAATTGCCTCCATCAACAGGTTGATGTCTCTGCAATATGTCGCAGTTTCGCATGTGATATGACTAACAGATTTCCATAACAAAACACTGATCATCTTTCTTGAAATGACGGGGTACCATAGTCATCGTTCATGGACAATATATACCCTATATATTATATACTTTGTCGGTCCTGATCATACATTTATTTGTTTAAGTTTTTATCTTACCCGCTTGCTTGATAATAATTGCCAAATGTATTTTCCTATTGCATGTTTCTTCGGTGAAATATGGGTTCAAAACAAAAACAAATCTGCAACTTCCGTCATGCGTTTCAAAAAATCCGCCAAAGAGGTTATGAGAACTGCCATATCATTGGTTAATGTTTTGTTGAAATAACCAATCAATTCTCCGTTCACAACTTTGTTTAATTTACGTCAAGTGCGCTTGCGTGAAGCAAACATGGAGGATGCACGAGTCGGATGAGGTGGCTAGACGTAGATTATTTATTTTCATTTTATACCAAATGAACCAGTGGTTTGAAACAAATGAACTTACGAAGATGTAAAAGGAGAAAATGACGGATTCTTCAGAGACTGCGGACTCTGTCGTCATAAGTGACACGGGGGATACTCGCTGTGTCCGGCCAGCTGGAAGTGGAACTGCCCCCTCGATGGACGACTCGGATATGCAGGAAGTAAACAAATCTGCTACAGGTGCTGAATCTAACTCGACCGAAGATACGCATGATGGAGACAACAAAAAGATAGGGACAACGAAGAGAAATATATGTTTTCGCGAACCACACGCCCTAGCAACCTATTCGGAAGCACCTGATCCCTGGAAGAATGGTAAATGTCAAATGGGAGATCTGTCAAATGACAAATGACATTTCTCAAGGTCTATATTTCATACCATTTTACTGTCTTGATATCCATGTAGTCAGTACACATCTTTGGATGGACATATCCTGTTAGCGTGAATGCATTTCTCGCTTCATCCATAGAAATACTATCATCTTTTCTCACCAACTTGTTTTCTTTACAAATGGTGTTGTGCTTATGATTTTGTACAAAGTAATCATTGTGATTAAATAATACTTTTTAAGATCAGAAATCAATCCTCAAAACTTCAATGTTTAAAGAAATAAAGGCTAAACTGATTTTTTTTTAGTATAACTTAAAAACGGCCAATGATCTGAGTCAGGAGGTCCATACCCGGTTGTATATATGCATATGCTTGACCTCAAAGCTAACTAATCTTCAAGTCATTTGGTATTTCGTTCCATGTACAGGTAGGTGGTCCTTGGAAATCGGAGAAAGGGCCGGTTTCCAAAACGGCCCCTTCTCTGATTCAAATTTCTTGTTGGTGGTGCATTGCCCATGCCGTTGTGGTCACAAATCTATAAAGTATAAAGATTTAGGTCACTTGGTTTGTTTTTTATGGCTCCTCAAAGTTGTACCTTTCAGAAGCTGTCTAAGTGTTGATAAAATGTGCATGTTATGTAAAATATTAATGAAAATCTAATCAAATGATGGTCACCGTAAAGAATACATTCATGGCATGATTGTGACAAAAAATCATGTTTCCATCGCGCCATTTGGCTGTTTTATGGAAGAAACAATCTCAAAAATGCCATTTTCGATGATAACATTTTAGACACAAAAACTGTGTTTTTTAGAGAATACACCCTTTTATGGGCGTTGGATGCAAACCAATTTTTATCCTATTAAACAGTACGTAATATGCTATTGATGAGAGGAAAAATCATCAAAATGTAAGTGGTGGAACATTTTCAAATGTTGGGTTGAATTAGCCTATGGTTGAATTGCCGATTTTCGACTTTCTTTAGATAATTAACAAAAAAACGAGAGTATTTGCTCGGTATGTTGAGAATATGTACACAGATATGAAAAAAAGTGAGAGAAACACTTTTTCATAAAAAAAATCCAAGATGGCTACTTCACAAGTCCCCGTGGTTGAAGACATTGGCTGACAAATAGACAGAACAACAAACAAAACGTGTTCCTTATGATTTTGGTTGGTTTTCGCATTTACGGGAGTGTTCATAGCTACGGGCGATTGTATAATACCTATATTTATAAGTTTGGTTAGTCACATGGTAACGGGGATCTTTCATATCGAGCCCCAAACATACTTTCGACATATGCACTCCGTTGCCGCATGGAAAACTATTTCAAGTTTTGTCGGAATTTCTTTACCTGTGGTTGTAATGGTCGAGGGTTTTCCAGCGTCCTGTAATACCCAAGGTAGTACAAGATACTGGAGATGTGCGCACACATTCCCATCGTTCTCTCTCCAACTGGGCACTGGCAGTAGTAGTCCTTTATTGGGGCCTCAACATCGGGTGAAACGGTGAACCGTATCCAAACGTTATATTTCGTTTGGCTTTTGTGTCGAGAATGTATTTGACATCGGAGAAGGTCTGGGGAGTGCTGGTAAAGCCACACCTCATAGTCTCCGTCATCACTTAAATGTTCGGCGATGTAACCAGGAGCCAGAGATATCTGATACGTTCCACACGTAATGGTTCTCAAGTAATCAAGATCGAGACGGGGAAACAGTACGGAAGATGCATCCATCTTGACAAACTCGGACCTTGCCCGTCTAGATAGATCCGGATCTGTCTTGACTCTCTGAGCTAAACCATTCGGTGTTGTCAAACGGTCCTTCATACGTTCAGCCATTAGCCTATCTTTGGCATCTCTCTCTGGAGATCTCTGGTAGATCGGTCCTCTAATACCATTCAGACAGGCTGTGACGGTTCGAAGCAAAGCCTCGATGACATTGATAAAGCTGTTAGACACCAATTGCGTTCGGAAGAACGTCCAGTGTTTCAGACGACCATGATAGGATTCCACAATCCACCTCGATTTGGTGATAGTTCTGTCAAGATTTGCTTGGACGTCAGAATGTTGACTTTGACCGGGTTTCAGGTATGACGGCATGCTAGCATTGAGGCCAGAGGCTTCGAGAACTGGTAGGACATCTCTAAAACCTCGGTCAACGACAACGTTGTCGTCTGGTTGTAGCCAAGTAACTAGCTTGTCCATGACTTTTTTTGTAATTGTAGCATCATTTTCGCTGCCAGTGAATGGTCCTACTGTGTCCAGAATGTAGCCATCTGGTAAGGCGATGCTCATGAATTTGAGATAGTTTCTCTTCTTCTGGCCACAGTAGGACATTCTCTGGAGCTTGTGGTCGGAGCTTTTCTGGATATAAATATAGGTGCCATCTAATATGGCAGTGGCTTTATCTCCAAAAAATGCTTCTGAAAAGACAGTATTGTGCCCGAGCAACTGTTCTCTTGTCAAGTGATCCGGACCTAGAAATTGTGGGACTATCGATGTGTCTAATGCCTGTACTATGGAGTGGAAAGTTTTGGACACACTTGACTTGGAAATTCCAAAAAGAGAAGAACACTGACTCCAGGAAATGTCGGTTTTCAGTTTTACCCAGAACAGTAATAGAGCATCGTGTGTAGTCTTGGTATATATACCAGATGAAAGATATGGGGAACAGTGCGAGTGGATTTCGAGGAACTGATCTTTGGACCAACCTGTCCAGGCCATGCATGCCGAGTCATCAAGAGAAGAAAAGCTTATTGTAAACGCAGACTGGTTCTGTGAAAGGACGTGCGACACCTCTAGGAGGTCATTAATGATTTCGGACGATTTTGATGGTAACTGAGATTCCAAGGAACCTCTACCATCAAGGACAACCTCTGTAGACGGATCTAAGTCGTTACCAATAAGGTGAATGGAGCAGACGCGGGATGAGGTGGGACACCACAGTTTGTGTGAATAGATCAGGTGATGTCTTGCACGTTTTGGTAAGACTGATGATTTTGTTCCATTTCTTGCAAAGGTAACAAGACAGAGACAGCATTTTTTGTGTGAAGATGATCCATTCAAAAGATCATGAAGGGTCAGCAACGGCAGGATATGGGACGGGGAGTCGTCTTCTTCCTCTATTTCCTGGTTCTGCTCGGGTTCAGGTTCAGGCTGATTTTTGTTCCGAAGATACTTCATGTAGCACTTCTGGCAAATAAGTGCTTGTTCCTTTGCTGACATCAATCCTTGTTGCACCAGCGTATCTAGGAGCCATTTATATTGTGGACTATTTACATTGCGTGCACTTCTGTTCTTATTGCCACTACGTTTCTTGAAGTATACTTGACACCCTTCTCCAACACATTTACCCTCCATCTTGAAACAATAACGATTGGTTTATGAAGCGTCGATAAAGTAACAAAATAGCAAGCCACCGATGATTGCTGTAAACAGCTAATACTTAGTAGTTTGGTACAATTATGCGAAAATGTGTGATAAATAACGAACAACTAATTACACAAAATAACAAGACAATATAATAAATCACATTCAATACCTCCAAGAAGCGCAGAATTGATTGATTACTTAGAACAAAATAAAGTATTTCATATGGATAATCTATCTATTCGATGTGGCGTGGTCGGCAGGCACAAAGAAAGTGAGACAAGTCAGGGTCCCAACCCTGACAGAGCCACAACGCTTTGGAGATGGGACAATAAAACAAGGAAAGTGAGACAAGAATAGCTAGCGTCGAGTCAATGATTCCGTAAACGTATAGACAAAGACAAGAAGATACGGATAAATGTACAAGGCCACACGATCAGAAAATTCAGAAGAGGACAACTTGAGATAGAACAGTATTCATGTATCAGGGTGTCCTCAGTGTAAATCTTTATATCGATACTGTTTATTTAGTCGTTACACATCATAAAACTGTCATGAAAATATCCGCTCTGATATTCAATATAAAAGTTTGTATATAATAAGCTATATAATAGGGTTTCAGACAAGGTTGTTACTCATTTCCCCTTTTCTTTCAATTTACAACCACATTCAGGCGGCGATATGAGAACGTTCCACCACATGGAATTAGCTGATTTTTGGTACACATATGAAACAAGTAAAGCTCTATCCGATTTTCTGATGGAAATTTGCATCCAAAACTATATAACGGGAGAAAATTGCAATTTTATGGCATTTTTCTTCATAATTGTGTCTCTGCAAGTGCATTTTCATCCGAGAATATTTTTTTTTATGTTTTATGAATAAACACGATGTTTTGGAAATATTTATCAAAAGAAATTTATACTATGTTGCGAATTACAATTTCGAGATAACCTTCTTTTATTTACGAACTTATGTCTTTGATGCTGAAATTGACAACTTTATAAAAATACATTTTCACTGAAATTATGAAATCTGGGTGTCGGAAAGGTGTAAAATTATTCTTCGGAAAAGAAAAAAACAGTAGTTGAGCTAGATAAGAAATTATACGGGGGCAGGCTCCTATGGAGAATTAACATTACTGGAAACAGGCCCTTTGGAATGAAAGTTAATTTTTTGTAGGCTGTAGAATCTAATAGTTTAAATATATTAATATAATATAATACTATATATATATATATCCCTCAGTTTGAAATCCCCTTATTGCAAATCTTGCTGCATGTCTCTGTAACCTCAGGGTGAACCATTTGGATATCGCCAAAATCTGTATAATGTTCCCTTGCCGAGGTAGCATGTTCTAATGTTAATCAGACAAGTGTGGTGTATGCACCTGCTTTGCCATCTCTCAGTCGACTCAAGCATGAAGCTTAGGTTCTTCCAAAAGAAGCTGATCATGATGGATCTTAATTAATGCTCTGGCTGATATTTTGTTGGTGTTCTCTACATGATTGGTTTGAAGAGATATTGACTCATAATTAGTATTTGCTGGATTAAACTGTTCTGTGTGTTTACAGTTTGTGTCCTTAAGTTGGTAATTATATTAATAGACATTTGTTGATTTCTTTTTCTGGCTTATGTGCATGGCACAAGTTTAAGGGTTGAATTATATTTGCCAAATATAATAGGAATATTAGGTCTATATATCATGCAATCATCAACAAATATAGTCAATGGCTGCGGACCATTTTTAACCAATATTAAAATTGTTGGATGTTTATGTTTTCAATATTGTTTTTAACAAAACAAACGCTATACTTTGATGTGCGTTGCAGTTTTGCTTTGCCAGATTTCTATACAGCCAAGTATTATTCTGTTAACTGCCGTGAATCAATATTAATTCTTAAATATGGCAGTCTATAACTGCTTCCAATGGAAAAAGTAAGATATACAGTAAATGGTGTCACAAACAAAATTAGTTGACAGCTGTAGATCTAGATCAAGAAAAGGTCAGATATCTTCCTTTATAGGATTATAACAAAAACCGACCCTTTGAAATCAGGTAAAATCAGCATGAACTACATGTATGTAAGGTTTACCTTCAGTTCATCAGGCAGCTGCTAACATTCTATCTCCTTTTTTTACAACATCATTGAAATATTTACCAAATCACTTTTCGATTGAATAGAAATTCCTGAAAATGGTCCACATGTTTTTATCGTGATACAGATTACAAAATGTTCCGTATGCTTCTAATTTCAGCTTATATTTTACTTGCGCTGTCACTTGTGTTGGAGGAAACCTGCTTAATACATCAAATAAAAGTAAAAACTACCAAAGAACTGAATTTTATCTTTTTAGCTGAGGTCTGGAACAACACAGATTTGATAACTGCTTACAGAAATGGATGTGAGCAAAATAATGTTCGACCTTTGAGTAAAGTTTTGAATCAGCTGCAGGTAAGATAAATAATCAGAAACATTTTCAACTTTCGTTCTGTTGATTTAGAAACTTTGCATACATGACTTTCACAAGCAAGAAATTATATAAATATATAGCTGGAATCACTGATTTGAGGCAATAAGTGCCACGTTGGTTAATTCACATCAGGTTTGTTATTGCTTGTCACTGATATGTTGACAGGACATTTCTCTTCATACCATTTGATTTCAATGCATACTTCAGCAAATGTCCCAGGTTCAAATTCTTGTGCCAGTGTGACAGTAGAAATAGTGATATTGGTTATGCTGAAAAGTTCAGGACAAGATTAGAAAGGAAGAATATGTTGCTGTGAATAAATTATTTGCATCATTCACTGTGAGTGATAAATGTATAAGTATTCATACATGGTTTGTTTGTGATTTTCAGGGTATTCAAAATACAGGAGAGAGACATGAGCTCCTTAGTCTCAAGGGTATGTATATTGTAATTAGGCTGTCTTAGCTACAGAATTTTGAAACTTGGTACATGAAATTAAGAACCAGGCCTGTAAAGAGGTACCTGGCATCAACATTTAACATATCCTATAGAACACATTCAGTTAGAGCCGTCATTCAACATTTACATGTAGGAGTTTTGAGTTTATCATTTTAAAGGTAAGACAAACTTTGTTTTTATCATTTTCAGCTGAAAAACTTGACATTCGTCACTGTGAAAGTCTCGAGGAGGTCCTCCGGAGGGTGCAGTTCAAGTGTATTGACTTGGAAGCATGTCATCTGGATGATGAGGTAAAGCACTAACATATCAGGTGCTATTGTAGACGAGATAAAACACTATCATAGATATCAGTTGCTATTGTAGACGAGGTAAAGCACTACCATAGATATCGGGTGCTATTGTAGACGATGTAAAGCACTATCATAGATATCGGGTGCTATTGTAGGTGAGGTAAATGGTTGTGGATTTAAGGGTAAAATGAAGAGTACAAAACCTACAAATACAATGTTATTTTACAACAAATCATAACTTAATGCAAATAGAAAATGAAACAAGAGTTGAGAAAAATAACTTCCCCTCCAGCATTGACAAGTTTTTCATTAGCATAAACAACTAATAATACCAAACAACTATGTGCGATGAAAACCCTGTGTTCGCATTGCATAGTTTTCCTAAAAGTAAAGACATTTTTAACAAGGACTAAAGTCTTTGGTTTTGTCAAATGTATTAGGCAGCAGCCCAATCTAAAATGCTATGCTTGAGCTGAAGAAGGCGATCTCTAAGCTCTACAGATTCATGTTGTCATCTTTCCACGTGTACATGTTGTTGTCAGTGGTACACAAACTATACTGAACAAAAAAAGAAACGCACAAAGTTCCCCCCTGCAGTACACCTTAGCTGTAAGGAAATAATGGAATATTTGGTCAGGTATTACATCAAGAACGATCTCCCTTTTCAACAATCTACCCTAAAATCAGCCAAGCGTGACCAATGTCATTGTGTGCCTTTGTGAGCTTCTTAAATCCTAATCACGCGGCGGGATCAAGCCAAGCCGGAGTTTTTCAAACAAATAATCTCAACGAATATTCTAAAATCAGCCACATTAATTTTCCACATTGGCATTTCGATTTGGCCATTGACTGAGATGCCACGCTTAACACAAAATCAGAGGGGTAGAGCAATTGCGATGTTGATGGATGGTCATAGCCAAACTGCTGTCGCACGGCAGTTTGGTGTTGGCCCCTGTACAATTAACCATCTCTGTACACGTTTCCGTGCTACTGGGTTAGTTTCCGATCGTCCCAGGAGCGGTCGTCCGCGTGTAACGGCCGCACGACAAGACAGGGCGATTTGATTGTCGCACTTGCGCAACAGATTAAAGACTGCTGTAGAGACTGCGTCGCATACGTTAGGTACTCATGGCAGACCCATTAGTCCTCAAACTGCCAGGAACCGCTTGCGTGCCGAGAGAATCATTGCGCGCCAACCTTATGTCGGGCCACCTCTGACACCACGGAGACGGCAAGTGCGCCTTGACTGGATGCGCAGACATGGCCCAAATAGGTTTGGGATGCATCGATGGAGGCGTGTGATGTTCACCGACGAGTCTAGATTCTGTCTGTATCGCTTAGACGGTAGAAAAAGGGTATATCGCAGACGCGGTGAGCGTTTCGCCGACGCATGCATGGTTGAACACGATAGATTTGGTGGGGCTTCTGTAATGGTTTGGGGAGGCATCTCCCATGGAGCAAAATCCCCCTTAGTGATCCTGGATCAAAAACTCAATGCCGTTCGATACAGAGACCAGATCCTCCAACCACATGTCCTTCCACTTCTCAGACGTCATAACCTAATTTTCCAGCAAGACAATGCTCGACCGCATGTTGCCAGAGTCTGTTGTGATTTTCTCACGGCAAACAACGTTCAGCCTCTGGAATGGCCCCCATATAGCTCCGACATGTCTCCCATTGAGCATCTGTGGGATGAGTTGGACAGGCGTATTAGGAAACGTCGAAACCCCCCAACTAACCGCGCCCAGTTGATCGCAGCATTAACACAAGAATGGAACAACATTCGCTTAAGGCGAATAAATGTTCTCATGAATTCAATGCGTAGGAGAATCCGTGCAGGGATTCGTGCAAAAGGTGCCCACACCAGGTACTGAAGTGTCATTTTGTTTTTCGAGGGTATCCCACTTTGAGTAACTACTGATGACACGAGTGACGTCACACAGACTTTTCTTCTACAGTATTTACTGTAAAGAGTAGACTTGTCCCTTCATATTGATATAAAATTTTGTACAAATTTCCCAAAATATCATAGGCTATTGATTGCATAATTTAATTGTGCGTTTCTATTTTTGTTCAGTATACATGTTTTTACAACACAACATGTTTTTATGTCACAAAATGAAACGGCAAGTATATAAAACTAATCATAAAATTTATATAAAAGTATAAAGGAAGATTATTTGATAACAAATGTCATGCTGCTGGCATTAACACTGTAATCAACCTATATACAGTAATTACACATACTGTTTAATTGTTCAGATAGTTCACAGAGTTTTATTTTTAATGATTATACTTGTCGCTTGCTTGTACTCAATAGCTTTTAACTCTAATTATTGTTGTTGCAGACTTTGATGGCTCTGTTCGACATGATAGAGTTTGTTGTAATTGTTGTTGCAGACATCAGTAGCTCTGTTCGACATGATCGAGTATTATGAGTCTGCATGTAGAGTCAACATGTCGTTCAATAAGAACATTTCCGTGCGAGGGTGGCAGTCCTGTTCCCGTATGATCAGGAAGGTGAGTGCAGTCTGAGAATCTGTTTCTTGGTAACATTCAGGTTGTATCTGATGTTCTGTTTCCCTGTATGTTTTCAGTTTGACTGATTTCACATCAGACTATGATAAAAACTTTGGATATGGGGTGACTTCCAGGATATGACAGAGTGTAAGGGAGGTTTGACAATGATACTCTGTTTTCTACAAAGAAATTATTTAACAATAATACCTCACTTATTACAAAGATAAATTTTAACAACAATGCGTTGCCTTTGAAAGGAAATTAGATTCAGAATGCCTGTTTATTATTTTGAATCAGACACCATGCCTGTTCTTCCTTGATGCAAGAAACTGTGATTTAAACGATCGGCTGATCCCTGTGATGGGTCGAGCCCTGAGGATGGGATCTTTCCTCACCACCCTACATCTGGAGAGTACGTCTCTGTCTGGCAGACCCCTGGTCATACTAGGTAAGACCTGTACGCCGGAAGCTGGTTGTTGATGTTTGTCTGTTTGTCTATATGGTGTATTAAATCAGTCTCAGTCACTCTCTGTACGCCTTACTTTTAAATTATATTGCATCCGTACATCAACAGAAAATAGAAAATAGTTAAGTTTTTTTTAAATAAAAACCCACAATACTCCCAAATCCTGTGACTCGTTTCCTACAGGTCTCTATCAGTCATTCTTAGAAGTCCTCAGAGCGTTTCAATAGTTAATGTGATATTGACTTGAATTACTCAGTGGCAGCCTTGAAGATGAATGAGATCTTGATGGAACTGTTTTTGGCTGACAATCGACTGATGCCTAGTGATGGGATACAGCTGGGAAACCTCCTGAAGTACAACCACAAGCTTCAGCTGTTAGACATCAGGAATAACCACTTACAGGTAATAACTAACACGTTTATCAGGAATAACCACTTACAGGTAATAACTAACACGTTCATCAGGAATAACCACTTACAGGTAATAACTGACACGTTCATCAGGAATAACCACTTAAAGGTAATAACTGACACGTTCATCAGGAATTACCACTTATTGGTATAATAACTAACATGTCTATCAGGAATTACCACTTACTGGTATAATAACTAACACGTCTATCAGGAATTACCACTTACTGGTATAATAACTAACACGTCTATCAGGAATAACCACTTACAGGTAAGATAACTAACACGTCTATCAGGAATACCCACTTACAGGTACGATAACTAACATGTTCATCAGGAATAACTGCTTACAGGTACGATAACTAACATGTTCATCAGGAATCACCACTTACAGGTACGATAACTAACACGTTCATCAGGAATAACTGCTTACTGGTATAATAACTAACACGTCTATCAGGAATTACCACTTACTGGTATAATAACTAACACGTCTATCAGGAATAACCACTTACAGGTAAGATAACTAACACGTCTATCAGGAATACCCACTTACAGGTACGATAACTAACATGTTCATCAGGAATAACTGCTTACAGGTACGATAACTAACATGTTCATCAGGAATCACCACTTACAGGTACGATAACTAACACGTTCATCAGGAATAACTGCTTACTGGTATAATAACTAACACGTCTATCAGGAATTACCACTTACTGGTATAATAACTAACATGTCTATCAGGAATAACCACTTACAGGTAAGATAACTAACACGTCTATCAGGAATAACCACTTACAGGTACGATAACTAACATGTTCATCAGGAATAACCACTTACAGGTAATAACTAACACGTCTATCAGGAATAACCACTTACAGGTAAGATAACTAACACGTCTATCAGGAATAACCACTTACAGGTACGATAACTAACATGTTCATCAGGAATAACCACTTACAGGTACGATAACTAACACGTTCATCAGGAATAACTGCTTACAGGTACGATAACTAACACGTTCATCAGGAATAACCACTTACAGGTACGATAACTAACATGTTCATCAGGAATAACCACTTACAGGTACGATAACTAACACGTTCATCAGGAATAACTGCTTACAGGTACGATAACTAACATGTTCATCAGGAATAACCACTTACAGGTACGATAACTAACACGTTCATCAGGAATAACTGCTTACAGGTACGATAACTAACATGTTCATCAGGAATAACCACTTACAGGTACGATAACTAACACGTTCATCAGGAATAACTGCTTACAGGTACGATAACTAACATGTTCATCAGGAATAACCACTTACAGGTACGATAACTAACACGTTCATCAGGAATAACTGCTTACAGGTACGATAACTAACACGTTCATCAGGAATAACTGCTTACAGGTACGATAACTAACATGTTCATCAGGAATAACCACTTACAGGTACGATAACTAACACGTTCATCAGGAATAACTGCTTACAGGTACGATAACTAACACGTTCATCAGGAATAACTGCTTACAGGTACGATAACTAACATGTTCATCAGGAATAACCACTTACAGGTACGATAACTAACACGTTCATCAGGAATAACTGCTTACAGGTACGATAACTAACATGTTCATCAGGAATAACCACTTACAGGTACGATAACTAACACGTTCATCAGGAATAACTGCTTACAGGTACGATAACTAACATGTTCATCAGGAATAACCACTTACAGGTACGATAACTAACACGTTCATCAGGAATAACTGCTTACAGGTACGATAACTAACATGTTCATCAGGAATCACCACTTACAGGTACGATAACTAACACGTTCATCAGGAATAACTGCTTACAGGTATAATAACTAACACGTCTATCAGGAATTACCACTTACAGGTATAATAACTAACACGTCTATCAGGAATAACCACTTACAGGTATGATAACTAACACGTCTATCAGGAATAACCACTTACAGGTACGATAACTAACATGTTCATCAGGAATAACCACTTACAGGTACGATAACTAACACGTTCATCAGGAATAACTGCTTACAGGTACGATAACTAACATGTTCATCAGGAATAACCACTTACAGGTACGATAACTAACACGTTCATCAGGAATAACTGCTTACAGGTACGATAACTAACATGTTCATCAGGAATAACCACTTACAGGTACGATAACTAACACGTTCATCAGGAATAACTGCTTACAGGTACGATAACTAACATGTTCATCAGGAATAACCACTTACAGGTACGATAACTAACACGTTCATCAGGAATAACTGCTTACAGGTACGATAACTAACACGTTCATCAGGAATAACTGCTTACAGGTACGATAACTAACATGTTCATCAGGAATAACCACTTACAGGTACGATAACTAACACGTTCATCAGGAATAACTGCTTACAGGTACGATAACTAACATGTTCATCAGGAATAACCACTTACAGGTACGATAACTAACACGTTCATCAGGAATAACTGCTTACAGGTACGATAACTAACATGTTCATCAGGAATAACCACTTACAGGTACGATAACTAACACGTTCATCAGGAATAACTGCTTACAGGTACGATAACTAACATGTTCATCAGGAATAACCACTTATAGGTATAATAACTAACATGTTCATCAGGAATAACTGCTTACAGGTATAATAACTAACATGTTCATCAGGAATAACCACTTACAGGTACGATAACTAACATGTTCATCAGGAATAACTGCTTACAGGTACGATAACTAACATGTTCATCAGGAATAACCACTTACAGGTACGATAACTAACATGTTCATCAGGAATAACAACTTACAGGTAAGATAACTAACAGTTATCAGGAATTACCACTTACAGGTACGATTACTTACATGTTCATCAGGAATTACCACTTACAGGTACGATAACTAACACGTCTATCAGGAATTACCACTTACAGGTACGATAACTAACATGTTCATCAGGATAACCACTTACAGGTATAATAACTAACATGTTCATCAGGAATAACCACTTACTGGTATAATAACTAACATGTTCATCAGGAATAACCACTTACAGGTAATAACTAACACGTTCATCAGGATTCACCACTTACAGGTAATAACTAACACGTTCATCAGGAATAACCACTTACAGGAAAGATAACTAACACGTCTATCAGGAATAACCACTTACTGGTTTAATAACTAACATGTTGATCAGGAATAACCACTTACAGGTATAATAACTAACATGTTCATCAAGAATAACTGCTTACAGGTATAATAACTAACACGTCTATCAGGAATCACCACTTACAGGTACGATAACTAACATGTTCATCAGGAATAATCGCTTACAGGTACGATAACTAACATGTTCATCAGGAATAACCACTTACAGGTATAATAACTAACATATTCATCAGGAATCACCACTTACAGGTATAATAACTAACCCGTAAATAAGCCGTATTTTGTGATTTGAAAAAGAAGGGATATGGGAAAATTGATGACCACCCCCAAATATCTGACGAGGATTTGAAATATCTTTATTCCGGAAAAACGTCAGTATTATATCTTTGATCTCCGTGTGGCCTACATAACAAAAGGTTTGGTTTGAAGAACTACCTGTACTACCTGTGATGTTACATGTTTCATTAGTTAACTTAATAAATGTTTGTCATTTAATAACGTTGCCTTTTTACTTTATCTCCTAGTATACCGGGTATTCATGCCTTATTATATTTCCTTTTTTTCTCTCGTAATAATAAAACAATTGATTCCCTCAATATGGAGTGACATGATGATGTGTCTACCCTCGAGTTGTTATGTCAGCCGAGGGCGAAACATGACGACTCAGGTGGTCAAATCGTCATGTCGCCCCATAATGAGGGCATCAATTGTATAATAACATATAGTAAGCTGAGTACTAACAATCACTGTTTTACAAATTCACCTTCCATGCAGGCAATAAGAGCAAAAAGTAAACTGCTATGAACAGTTTGTGGCGAACAATAAGTAAAGGGTTATATACTTATGACATTGTGTACTTGCAGGACATTGGAGCGAGCCACGTGTGTGACGGTTTGTGTGAGCAGAACCTTGGCAATGGGCTACAGACACTTGTCTTCTGGAATAACCAGATCACCTACAACGCCATGACAGCTGTGGGCAAGGCAATGGTTAGTTAGACATGGGTTCAGGAGAGGTTTCATCTCTTGATATTGACATTAAAGTAAGAAGCAAAATATACTGTAATGCTGAAATATGGAGCAAAATTTAAACTGGAAACTTTTCCTGGAATGGGATTATTACTGTTTACTGATTTTGTGGTCGATTAAAACAATTTATTCAATGAATGCACATAATTTGATCAGCTTCAATAGGATTGAGAAGTGTGATATTGGGGATTTATAAGTAATTCTCCTTGTTTCAGGCTACGACTGATAGTGTAGAGACATTAAATCTCGGTCATAACAATGTCACCAACGAGGGAATCCACCTGATGAAGGACGGGCTTCTCAAATCCAAGTCTCTCCTGAGAATAGGTCTGCAGGGCACCAAGGTCACATGTGAAGGTAACAGATGTTTATTGGTGTGTGTTACACATGTATTATAATCTATGTATACCATTTCATACCACCTGCCAGTAGCTTGATAAATTCATTACCATGGGTTGTCAGTATGAGAATACTCAAGAAGAAGGTGAAAACGACTTGAGAACAACTTGAGAATGGGTTTTCCCATTTCACAGCATTTGGGAACGTATTTTCTCAAAAAACATTGTCTGCTCGCACCGGGTGACATCCTAAACCGGAAGCGATATCCACACAAAAGTGATCTGTGTAAGAAAATAGTCCGTCATAAACAAATTAATATAAAGGTACGAAAAAATATTATGAGGATAATAACACCATATCAAGCATCAATGTGCATACGGAAAAAGCCAATGACTATAGGATTATTATAAAATAATTTTTTTACTACATAGTTTTAAGGTTCATTGTATTCCTCCGTGTAAAACTTCTATTTGTTTACGTTTGTCACAGACTGAGGATTTGTAATTGTTGACCATTGAGCTTATAAGTCAGCCAGAAAACATGGTGTTTTGTTGACTTTTTTAAACGAAGAATTATATAAGGTAGTAGTATATAGAGGATAAACAGTTTATCACACAATATTTTCAGTGTTTGTCATCAGAAAAATCTACTTTAAATGTCCAAGTGACGGTAAAGCACTGTAAGGTGGCTTATTCTAGTTAGATAGGGCACTATGCCAGGTGTTGTATATCTTGTAGGTTACTTTAAATGTCTTAGTGACAGTAAAGCATTTTAAAGTGGCTTATTCTTGTTAGATAGGGCACTATGGCTAGTGTTGTATATCTTGTAGGTTACTTTAAATCTCTTTGTGACGGTAAAGCACTTTAAAGGGGCTTATTCTAGTTAGATACGGCACTATGCCTAGTGTTGTATATCTTGTAGGTTACTTTAAATGTCTTAGTGACAGCAAAGCACTTTAAAGTGGCTTATTCTTGTTAGATAGGGCACTATGCCTAGTGTTGTATATCTAGTAGGTTATTTTAAATGTCCAAATGACAGTAAAGCACATCAAAGTGGCTTATTCTTGTTAGATAGGGCACTATGCCAAGTGTTGTATATCTTGTAGGTTACTTTAAATGTCTTTGTGACGGTAAAGCACTTTAAAGTGGCTTATTCTAGTTAGATAGGGCACTATGCCTAGTGTTGTATATCTTGTAGGTTACTTTAAATGTCCAAGTGACAGTAAAGCACTTTAAAGTGGCTTATTCTAGTTAGATAGGGCACTATGCCTAGTGTTGTATATCTTGTAGGTTACTTTAAATGTCCAAGTGACAGTAAAGCACTTTAAAGTGGCTTATTCTAGTTAGATAGGGCACTATGCCTAGTGTTGTATATCTTGTAGGTTACTTTAAATGTCCAAGTGACAGTAAAGCACTTTAAAGTGGCTTATTCTAGTTAGATAGGGCACTATGCCTAGTGTTGTATATCTTGTAGGTTACTTTAAATGTCCAAGTGACAGTAAAGCACTTTAAAGTGGCTTATTCTAGTTAGATAGGGCACTATGCCTAGTGTTGTATATCTTGTAGGTTACTTTAAATGTCCAAGTGACAGTAAAGCAAATCAAAGTGGCTTATTCTAGTTAGATAGGGCACTATGCCTAGTGTTGTATATCTTGTAGGTTACTTTAAATGTCTTAGTGACAGTAAAGCACTTTAAAGTGGCTTATTCTAGTTAGATAGGGCACTATGCCCATTGTTGTATATTTATTTACTTGGGTGTGTACAGGTGCTGTGGCCTTAGCGGAGGTGATAGCCGACAGTCCGCGGCTGCTGAGACTGGACCTTCGAGAGAACGAGATTAAAACAGCAGGTTTGATGGCCCTGTCTCTGGCTCTTAAGGTCAACGAAACAGTTACAAGACTGGACATGGACCGAGACACCAAGCGAGAGTCGGTAAGCTGGAGTGTACTATAAATGAGTATGTGATGTGTCCCACAGTTTAGTTGTCACTAAAATATTTATTGGTTAGGCTTGCTCTAATATTTTACTACTGTATAGTGGAATAGAACAAGAACTGGGAGAAGGTATATCGACATGCTGGTACTTCAGTATTACATTATCGATACACATTGTATGGTATTCTCAAATCTCGATACATCACTGATGAGAAATCGCTTAACATGTAACTAAATGTACTCACTAACAGATATCCTACTAAGGTCCTCATATAACATTCCAATCATTAACTTGAATTGTACCATTAGCGTAGACTTTACAGTAGATGTTATATTACAGGGGAAAATACAGCTCAATAAGTGCTTGGATTAGAAACCATGTAACTGATTTCAGGGAGAAGGAAATGTATCATAGATAAACAGTAGTGTCTGCCCCACAAAGTCACCATGGTTATTTTTCAAAAGAATGCCAATATACTGGCTCCAAGAGATTTAGTGAAAATTAAACTATGCCTTTGTTACATTCAAACACATAAATTAATAGCTGTATCTACTGGAGTATTTTTCCAGGAACAATTTGGTTACCATTATGTTTAATACTCAACACTATATGATTGTAAGCTGAAATTTGATACCTAACGTGAGATGTAAACATCTGATTTTTCAGGGAATGAAGGATTTTGCTGAGCAGCAAAGGCGACTACAGCAGGACATCAACAACTTTCTAGAAAGGAACCAAGGCCTGGCGCGTAAGAGGACGGAGGAGGAGAGACTTGATCTAGAGAGGACCATCAAGGAGGACACCCGGCCTGGCCGATCAGACTCCATCATTGAACCAGCAGAGACTGCCAAGGAGGACGCCCAAACCATTGCTTCGTTTGATAAGATAAAGCGTCCAATGCTTCTTGTCATGGAGGACAGAGCAGCTCAAAAAACTCTGGACTCTCCACATGTTAAGCCAGAGAACTTGCCAAGCAGTGGTGATGAGGATGAAAACGTCCTGCCTTCCAATAAAGCCCTGGCAAATGCTGCAACTCCCCCAGCAGAGCTCCTGCTCAGTCCACAGTACTGCACAGTTAAAGCCAAAAAACTGTTCACAGTGTCGCGTGTGGCAGGGCCGCCTCATCTGCCACTTTCCCAGGCAGGCATGAGTGCTGGTCACTCTGCTTCGTCCCGACTGGACACAGTCCTGTCACCCTCCGATACCAACGACCTGATCGCTCACATCAGTAATGGAACGCATGTTATGTCTCAGGGTCTCTCATCCAGAAACATCACGAGTCCTTCTGATGTCACTCTTAGTATACAGGCAGAAAATGTGAATCACATCATAGATGAACTAGTGACTGGGGTGTCCGACACCAACTTAACAGACGAGAAAAGTAGTGGAGAGCTCACATTCCAGGAAAATATACAGAAATCTTGTTTAGAATCTGAAAGCAAGTCATGTGAGGACATTGTAGATTCACATGATTTAGTGACACAGGTTGATGGAAATAATGCCACCATATCTGACCAAGGAGAAGGCCAGCCTAGTGTTAACGAGGAGTTTGTGACTCCCAGCAATAGTGAGGTAGAAGTGAATGAGTCTGCTACCTTGCGGACAATTGATAGTGTCTGTGATAATAGTAAACAGAGTGAGGAGGCTTCTGGCCACCTCGTTAGTGCAATAGGTGATGTAGGGAATGGAGATAACTCTGTAGAGGAGGGTTGTAACTCGGGTAACATGGACAGTGTAGCTGACAGGTTATCTGGAAGTCTACCGGAGTTAGACATTACAGATTGTGATCAAACCAAGCAGAATTGTGAGAAAAGTAATGATGTGAGTAACGATTCTCAAGACATGCACACTTTGTCTAAAAGTTTACCTTGTGATAAACTCAAACAAGAAAAGGACTCTGGTATAGGTAGTTACGAAAACGATCGTGATTGGACAAGGCTGGACGCTCCTAATAAAGGGTTGAAAACCAACGGTTGTGGCAGTCGAAAAGATGGGCCAGGTTTATCCATCAATAACCCTGATTTTTACTCTGACTTGACATTAAATGGCTTAACACAGGAATTAGCTAGTGCTCTTGAAAACTTGGATGTAGACTCGGCTGGAGGGAAGGAGTGTTTGGTTGATACTAGTAAGTTAATTTAGGCTCTAGACTTGGCTGGAGGGGAGGAGTGTTTGGTTGATACTGGTTAGTTAATTTAGGCTCTAGACTCGGCTGGGGGGGAGGAGTGTTTGGTTGATACTGGTAAGTTAATTTAGGCTCTAGACTCGGCTGGAGGGAAGAAGTGTTCGGTTGATACTAGTAAGTTAATTTAGGCTCTAGACTCGGCTGGAGGGGAGGGGTGTTTGGTTGATACTGGTAAGTTAATTTAGGCTCAAGACTCGGCTGGAGTGGAGGAGTGTTTGGTTGATACTGGTAAGTTAATTAAGGCTCTATACTTGGCTGGAGGGAAGGAGTGTTTGGTTGATACTGGTAAGTTAATTTAGGCTCAATCAGCCAAAAGAGAGTTTGGTTGTTAATACTAGTAAGTTGATGTAGAAGGGGTTAGTTGATACTTGCAAAGATTTGGTTGATACTGGTAAGTTAATTTAGGCTCAAGACTCGGCTGGAGGGGAGGAGGGTTTGGGTGATACTGGTAAGTTAATTTAGGCTCTAGACTAGGGAAGAAGTGTTCGGTTGATACTAGTAAGTTAATTTAGGCTCTAGACTCGGCTGGAGGGGAGGGGTGTTTGGGTGATACTGGTAAGTTAATTAAGGCTCTAGACTCGGCTGGAGGGAAGGAGTGTTCGGTTAATACTGGTAAGTAAATTTAGGCTCTAGACTCGGCTGGGGGGGAGAAGGGTTCGGTTGATACTAGTAAGTTAATTTAGGCTCTAGACTCGGCTGGAGGGAAGCAGTGTTTGGTTGATACTGGTAAGTTAATTTAGGCTCTAGACTAGGCTGGAGGGAAGAAGTGTTCGGTTGATACTAGTAAGTTAATTTAGGCTCTAGACTCGGCTGGAGGGGAGGAGTGTTTGGTTAATACTGGTAAGTTAATTTAGGCTCTAGACTCTGCTGGGGGGGAGGAGTGTTTGGTTGATACTGGTTAGTTAATTTAGGCTCTAGGCTTGGCTGGAGGGGAGGCGTGTTTGGTTGATACTGGTTAGTTCCTTTAGGCTCTAGACTCTGCTGGAGGGGAGGAGGATTTGGTTGATACTGGTAAGTTAATTTAGGCTCAATCAGCCAAAAGAGAGTTTGGTTGTTAATACTAGTAAGTTGATGTAGAAGGGGTTAGTTGATACTTGCAAAGATTTGGTTGATACTGGTAAGTTAATTTAGGCTCTAGACTTGGCTGGAGGGGAGGAGGATTTGGTTGATACTGGTAAGTTAATTTAGGCTCAATCAGCCAAAAGAGAGTTTGGTTGTTAATACTAGTAAGTTGATGTAGAAGGGGTTAGTTGATACTTGCAAAGATTTGGTTGATACTGGTAAGTTAATTTAGGCTCTAGACTAGGCTGGAGGGAAGAAGTGTTCGGTTGATACTAGTAAGTTAATTTAGGCTCTAGACTCGGCTGGAGGGGGGGAGGGTTTGGTTGATACTGGTAAGTTAATTTAGGCTCAAGACTCGGCTGGAGGGGAGGAGGGTTTGGTTGATACTGGTTAGTTAATTTAGGCTCTAGGCTTGGCTGGAGGGGAGGCGTGTTTGGTTGATACTGGTTAGTTCCTTTAGGCTCTAGACTCTGCTGGAGGGGAGGAGTATTTGGTTGATACTGGTTAGTTAATTTAGGCTCTAGACTTGGCTGGAGGGGAGGAGTATTTGGTTGATACTGGTTAGTTAATTTAGGCTCTAGACTCTGCTGGAGGGGAGGAGTATTTGGTTGATACTGGTAAGTTAATTTAGGCTCTAGACTCTGCTGGAGGGAAGGAGTGTTTGGTTAATACTGGTAAGTTGATTAAGGCTCTAGACTTGGCTGGAGGGAAGGAGTGTTTGGTTGATACTGGTAAGTTAATTTAGGCTCAAGACTCGGCTGGAGGGGAGGAGTGTTTGGTTGATACTGGTAAGTTAATTTAGGCTCTAGACTCTGCTGGAGGGAAGGAGTATTTGGTAGATACTGGTAAATTAATTTAGGCTCTAGACTTGGCTGGAGGGGAGGGGTGTTTGGTTGATACTGGTAAGTTAATTTAGGCTCAAGACTCGGCTGGAGGGGAGGAGTGTTTGGTTGATACCGGTAAGTTAATTTAGGCTCTAGACTCTGCTGGAGGGGAGGAGTGTTTGGTTGATACCGGTAAGTTAATTTAGGCTCTAGACTCTGCTGGAGGGAAGGAGGATTTGGTAGATACTGGTAAATTAATTTAGGCTCTAGACTCGGCTGGAGGGAAGGAGAGTTTGGTTGATACTGGTAAGTTAATTTAGGCTCAATCAGCCAAAAGAGAGTTTGGTTGTTAATACTAGTAAGTTGATGTAGAAGGGGTTAGTTGATACTTGCAAAGATAAGTAATAAATATATAAAAAAAAATATATGAATACACATTTTAATGAGTGATGATTACAGTTGGAAATTCTCTTCATGGACATATAGGTATGGATGTAATATATCATACATTTATTGTTCGTTAGATATGATTGGTGTTAAATTCATCAATGCAGTAGTTTATTCAGAGAAGTGTGGTACATTTTACTACATATAAGTAATATGTGTGTTTCACTTCATTTTTTTCAGACAAAAAATCGTGTGGCACTGTGGATGATTTTGAGAAAGAACTGGATGCAATGTTAGCCGATGTGAAGAGTGGATCCAACCTTAACTTACCTTCTTGTAAGCACACATTACATTGTACATGAGCTATATATATATATATAGTGTAGTAAGCACACATTACATTGTACATCAGCTATATATATAGTGTAGTAAGAACACATTACATTGTACATGAGCTATATATATATATAGTGTAGTAAGCACATATTACATTGTTCATCAGCATTCTTCTTAATCCTGTCCCAAACTAATACATAAAATATTTTCAAATTCTGATGTAAAACAGAAAATCTATAATTGTTTTTGTCACATTAATGATTATCTAACATTGTAAAATGTATCTTTTCTTTGGCATTACCATCTGTTTGTCCTTGTATTTACATTATCTTGTGATGACCAAATCTAGTTTTTACAAAATCTTTTGAGATTATGTTTGTGTGATGAGAATCGTATACATGCGCTAATCATAAAAAGGGTTGCTGCCTTAAATATTATCACAGTTATAGCTCTTTGTAATCCATCAGCTTATTTGAAATTTTTGATGGAAATAATGAAGATCTTAAGATGGTGGGCACCAGGATCCCTTTGGGATCTCTTGATTAAAATAGAATAGAAATTCCTTTAAACTCCTTTTGAAACTTTTGAAAGTGTCATTGTTGAAACCTTGGTTTTGGTTCAGATATCAATCATTTAGAATGCAGTACTAAAATTTATACAGCATGTTTTTAGTTACCACTGAAAAGTGTTTCTCTTTCCAAGTTAAATGAATTTTACTAATCTATCATGGGCATGTAACGCTCCACTACGCAGTGGTTTTGTTAATTTTTGTGACATTATGAATCATCGACTGTTACTGTATAACGTTATATTACACATGTGAAAATATTATTACTCAATACATTATCATTTACAGGTTTAATGAAAAACAAAGAGGAAATGGCACAAGACTGTACAGGGACAGAAACATAGCACTCGAAAAGGATCACCGGTACAGGAACGTGAACGGCCGACTGCATCTACGCAATACAGGAAAACAAACCCATATGCCAAGCCATGTGGTCAAACTTTCAATTTATGTGAAACAGAATTTTGCAGAAACTATCTTACATGATGATTCATAAATAAAAATTACCAGTAGAGAAAAAAATGAGAAATTAATGTAACAACAAACTCACGGTATTACATGTATACAGTTGTTCCAGAAAGAATTAATTTCATACCTGAAATATACAATGCTATTGAATAGTGAGGGTTAAAAATTCACCATATCAGATTTTAAATGGCATATATGCTTACAAGGCCCCCTGGCAGCAGGTGGAGAACTGCTATGAACTTGTTACTGTAGATATCTGTTGTGTACCAGCCAGGCAGATATCACACTACACTTCTTAAGTCAACACTGATATTATAGATGTTCTTTACCCTTGACAAACCTCAATGGACCTTACTGATGACAGGTCTTATCTGTTGGGACAGATTTGTGTTGGTAAATTGTCTGTGCACTAGACGTAGCACGATTAGTCGTTTAGTACTTAGTGTGTGACGAGTGATCTGGTACCTGGTGTGATAAGTTGTATGGTACCAGGTGTGAAAGGTCATGTGATGTTTCAAGTTCTAGTTCCATCATATATATACAAAACTGTTTTCAGAACCTCTATTATAGCATAAAATGCTTAAATGGCTTCAAAAATAAAATGGAACTAGAAAAATTCAGACAATTTCAAATACTATTAAAGGAAAAGAGTTGGACACATATTTACTGTAACAACTGTCGCAGAGACTAACATGGTGGGATAATTACTGCAGCAACTGTGGCAGAGACCGACATGGTGGCATAATTACTGCAGCAACTGTGGCAGAGACTGACATGGTGGCATAGTTACTGCAGCAACTGTGGCAGAGACTGACATGGTGGCATAATTACTGCAGCAACTGTGGCAGAGACTGACATGGTGGCATAATTACTGCAGCAACTGTGGCAGAGACTGACATGGTTGCATGGTTACTACAACAACTGTTGCAGAGACTTCAATGGTAGCATAGTTACTGCAGCATCTATCGCAGAGACCGACATGGTGGCTTAGTTACTGCAGCATCTGTCGCAGAGACTGACATGGTGGTTCTTAGGCTGTGAGACATACCAAACCTTCTGAAAAAACATTCACTGCAATCAAATTGCAGTTTTTAAATTAAATTGTACTATATTTTAATTATTTCAGGGTCTTGTGTTAATAATAGGTACAGGTCTGATTTTTATTGGAGTGAAAAAGATTGTAAAAAGGTGATTTCTTGCATATCTACTGGCACTGAAATGAGGTGAATTTTGACATTATTTTCAGGTCAAATCTCTTAAACATGCACAGGGTTTCAGTCTTTCATTTTCTTTGTATATTGTTTACAACACTGTTAAGTTGTGTGATGTTTTGCTAATGAAAGTTTGGTTGTGTATTACATGAAACAACATTTCATATTTTTGCATCATACTTTAACATGTTACCTGCTTATTTTCATATTTTTGCTACAATAATAACTTGATCACAGACATAAGTTCATGGGACAACTGACTGGTTTCAAAGAATGTGACTTCATAGTGTTTTAGACATACTTTTCCAAATTCCACCCAAAGATTGATTCAAGCACAATAACATCCTTCATAAACTTGAATAATAAATTTTTATTTTTTTTTAAGAATACTGGTATTCAGGTACATACCGGTATGTGAAATGTTCTCCATCCTACAGGATAACCGGTATGTCCTTACGCTGTAATTGTGATTAAAAGTACTTGCTAAAATCAGCCTGGAAACACAGATAAAGTGCTGCTTGATATTTCTTCTTGCCAAAGTAACTGCTATGAAGTAACTATTATTATCTGCACAGACTCAAAGTCTAAAGATCATTCCTGACTTAACTTGAAGTCAGTTCTCAGTTATTGGGTTATTTACAGTTCACTTTAATGATATATTTTAGTAATTGGTTTGTATCCGTTACAAGGTTATATCCATTTACTTACAAAAATGGTAGCAGTAATATATCTGTATACAACATCTGAGATATTTGTCTGAGTACTGTACAACCTCAGTCAAAGTGATTCAACACTACTCTTTGATAGTTTATGGCATATGTTTGATATTTAAGTTTCAGAAACTGTTACCGTATTCAAATAAATTGAACCACTCCACAAGGTATAATTGTAAACTTTTGACTTGAAGTTATCTCCCTTGTAAATAGAAGATAAAATGACCCAAGGGTTTGATTTACTTACTTTGGTAACATATTCATACTGGGCATTTAATATACCTTGATAGCAACATTGATAAGGCATTGGATTAAAGGAATTGGATAGGTCCTAAGTTTAACCCCTGAAATTTCTTTTTCAAATCCTGTACATAAGAATACACATGAAGAAAATAAATGACAAACATATTTCATGAATGTTTCAATGGTAATAATATACTTTTACCTAAATGGTACTCTGAAAACAGGTTTATAGTTTCATATATAGAAATTAAAATTGAAATTATACTAAATTTCTACCTGATTGAGTGGTGTTGGTGATATATATTAAGCAGTGTTGAGTGACTGGAAATATTTATTCAAGATAATGTTTCGATACACGTACAGTATAGTAAAATGTAAAATATTGGTGGCATTCAATAGTTTAAATGGAATTTGAACGAAGTTGAATTGTATGTTTATGTGAATTTAATTTTGTATGTGTAGATGTGTTTTAACTTTACTTGCAGGTGAACATTTTAAAATAATATCACTTTTGAAATGGATTTTGTCTTGTTAAGTGGAGGCATCATATATAGTGGTAAAATGAAATAAAAAGTGTTCATGCAAAAGGTTCTCATTTTGCAGTATTTATTATAATATTATAAGTTACAGTCCTCTCTTTGTATGCTAGCTGTGATATTTCTGTGGTAAGATATATGCATATGATCATCAACAGACTCGACCAACAGATTTAAAAGTGTACAAGTAAAAACAAGACTGACTATTCTACAAAACTTGGCAGTACTATTTGTACAGACAAGACAGTGACTTACAAAGACAAGACAGTGACTTACACAGACAAGACACTGACTTACACAGACAAGACACTGACTTACACAGACAAGACAGTGACTTACACAAACAAGACTTACTTACACAGACAAGACAGCGACTACCTACAAGGCTTGGCAGTATTATTTTTAGAGACAAGACAGTGACTTACACAGACAAGACAGTGACTTACACAGACAAGACAGTGACTACCTACAAGGCTTGGCAGTACTATTTGTACAGACATTGGGTTTATAACTTACCTATAAGGCAGGGTGGTATAGATTTTATAGGTTAATTTTAATTTTGTGATTTAGGTGAGAAGGCCAGAAAGAACATTTTACGAAGAATACAGAAGAGATAAGTGTTTATCTAGTAATTTGTTTAGAACAAGCAGTAAAATGTGTAGTGAAGTTTGAGATGTTGGTACAGTATCTGTTTCTGATTTGTTAGATACATCAGAATATTTTCAGTGGTCAGACAAAAGCATCTTGTAACAGTAAAGTATCCAGTATCTAATGGATCTACAGCCAGGCTTTGTTGACATGATATTCAGTCTGTTAATTCCACATCGATATCACCTGTTATAAGTTACCAGAGTTAACATTGGAACATGAACCTGTACCTACTTCTGTTTACGTAACCATTGTCTTCTTTAAGACAACTAAATTATTAGATCACAGAATAATGATTATATGTTTACAGAGATATGTACCTGCCATTATTATTTCTATGCAACGGAATGTGAATTTTGTTAACCGTTATATTTCACAACAAATTTTTCTTAACTTTGTTTTTGTTTCATCAGGATATTTTATACATTGACAAAGCTTGGAGATATTTAATGCAGATGGTTAATTCAGGCTAAATGACATGCCTCCATATGTGTTTCGTGTAGCTTATGTAAACCTGTAATCACTGATTTGTCTGAGATATATCATGTGAAGGGTATTATTTGGTGTTGTCCATTACACTTGTTGAAATCTCCCTAGTGGCCATACTCCTTGA